GCTGATTTTAAGCATGAGAATGACATGGGTCTGACTTGTAACCCTCTTTCATTTCAAGCTGGCTAATAAGTGCTCCTAACTGCCTATAAAACCCCTCCCGACTTTGGTGTGGGAAGGTTTGGCTGTACGTTTTCCTTTGCTGTACATTCTGTGTTCCCCACACCTGACTGACGCGGACCTTTGCAGTGCTGAGGTAAGATACGTGGTATCAGAGAAGACTTAGACTGGCCGGTTTTGGTTCTTCGTTCTCCTTCCCAGGATTAAGCGGTGAGATGTATTTACATGATGCAAATGTAAGTACATTACACACAGCTCAGACAAACTGGTGGAGTAATATTTCCTTGCAAAGACTCTGGATTTGCCCCAGAGCCTTTTCTCAAGGTGCCAGAAGACTCTAGAAACCAAATCATAACATTGGATCAATAGTTTCTCCCCTCTCTCTGTTTAAAAGGAACACGTCCAACCCAAATACCTCACCCAAAAGATTAAGGTCCAAAAATCACAAGGGGTCCTGACTGCATTTCGGATTCCTTTGCTGGAGCAGCTTTAGGCAGTTACTCTCTAGTCTTGGTTTGAGCAACGGATCCAAAAGAAACGGTTCTACCAGCTACAGGGTCTGCCCATCCTGAAGAGCCGTCCTTGTGCTTAAGAGTCGTTTGGTTACATTTTGGTTTTAAGGTCATTAATTTTGTTGGCGATCTGATTGGTGGCGTTTCCTGATGCGGACGCTATGTGCTGAGTTCAGCTGCCTGCCTAATTTTTGTGTTGAAGCATGGTTGGGATAGCTGTGGTTTAAAACTAGCTCCTAATGATTTCAGGATGTCTGAGAAGGCGACTTTCCAAAACTACCCAACACTGCCACCTAATTCCCATTCCGTGTGCCCGGTGGGGGGGGAAGTTCGGTGCGTGGGGCTGAAGGGATCTCGGCCGTCCCTCTGTCTTTCTGTCCTGATGGCGTTTGTCTCTCCTCAGTTCTGTCCAACCAAGGCCGAAGCCCGAAGGAGTGCTGCGAAGATCGCGCTCATGAACTCGGTCTTTAACGAGCATCCCTCCCGGAGGATCACGGATGAGTTTATTGAGAAGAGCGTTTCGGAGGCCCTGGCATCTTTCAACGTAAGGCTTCTCCGTACCCGGACGGCTGTGATTGATGGGGACGGATAGACTAGGGAAAAACCTCAAATCACGGGAAGAGAGGTTTTCTTTTACATCTGGAACTCTTTATGTCAGGGGTTTTTTTTTTCAGTGACTTCTGAGTATTACAACTTAAACTGTAGCTCTAATTCTTGTTCTCCTGCTTCCCCTCCCACACGGTCTCTCGCTCTTCTCACGTTTGGTTGTCCTGCCCTCAGGTCAGGGGTAGGACAATAAGACGGAGATGCTGATTCATGTGGCCCTTCTGTGACCGGGTTGTCACGTTGGCTAGCTGTTTCTTTAAACCAAATGTTTCCCAGAAATGTTAGTTTCTAGCAGCGGGAGCTTTGCGTTCTTCTTTTACCCCTCTAATTATACCTTCTCCTGGCGGGAGCTCTTGCTGTGCAGTCACGTGGTGCCTGATGGTACCCGGAGTATTGTAAGAACTTTGAAGTCGCCGCCGTGGGCTGCAGAAAAAGCCCCATTTCCAGTGGCAATGTCAAAAGCAGAGCGGGCTCTGTTGCTCCGTGCGAGCTGCAGTGAACGATGCAAGTATTCGGTGTGGAATTAGACTGGTAAGGGCGTCTGGCGGCGCGAGGCTGAGGTGCGTAAGGCCGTCCTCCTTAACCTGAGCTGGAACTGCTGCAGCGGAGGTGATGTAGCGGAAGCGGAGGTACCGGGCGAACCCTGCTCGGTTGGGAATTGCAGCTTTTGTGCCAAATGTCTCTTGCAGGGCAATCGAGAGGAAGCTGATAATCCCAACACCGGGATCGGTGCTTTCCGCTTCATGCTGGAATCCAACAAGGGAAAATCAATGCTGGAGTTCCAGGTACGGTTCCTAATTTAATGACAGGGTCCGAGGGGCGGTTGGTTTGATCTTTCAGCTACGTGTGTAGTGCTTTACACAAAACAAAAGTGGGGCTTTCCTCTTAGAACACGACTCGGGGTTTGTGGCGCTTTCAGGCGCTGGTGCAGCAGCAAAAGGCTTTTGAGTTGGGCTTCTCTCTGTAAACGCGCTTTGATATTTGCATGGCTCAGTATTGTGAAAGGGTTGTGCCGCCTTCTGATCCAGTCTCTTCCGTGACGGCGTTCAGAGAACCGGTGCTGGAGGTCCAGACCGTACCTCCAGGTGCCGTAACTCCTGGCATTAAACGAGCCGCTCCGTTTGTGGGTTTTACCCCTCTCCCTGTAAAACAGGAGAGACCTCGCTCCCCTTGGGAAAGCTGGTGAAGGTCTTTCATCCAAAGACGTTTTGACTGTGGAATTAGGAGTCTTGATTACTGTCGTTCCGTGCCCTCAAACCACAGCGTTATCTGAGCAGTCTTCCTGTGCTACTGAAATGGGCTCCGTCTGTCTCTCCTTACGACAAAACATCTGTGAAATGAAAAGTACAAACTGCCGAGAGAAGCTGCTGTAACACCTCTCGGTTCTGGGTAACGGAGCAGGAGGAGTCCGTGCAGGACAGATGACCGAGAACTGAGCTGCTTCTGGGCTTTATTCCAGCTGCTCTGAGGAAACTGCTCCTACGAGCAGAGCAGAGCAGCCAGGTAAATCAGACTGTTCTGAGCGCTCTGAATTCTGCGTGTGACTTGATAGCCTTTGAGCACGCTCCTCGTCAAGCAGGACGCCTCTCCCCGCACGTACGGAGAGGCTGTTCCAACAGTGCTTTGAGATTCGTGACTCCTTTTAAATTAAACCTGGGCTTCGCAAGCAACTGGAAGCCATTCTTGTGCAGATGAGTTTGACTCTGAGTGCCCCAACTGGAACTGGATTTTTAGAAGAGGAGAAGTCAGACCGTGACTCTGCTCCAGAGGATGAAGCAGGGCTTGGGTGCGGCGCAAAGCAGGCGCCTTAATTCTGGAGTGCCGCTTTTTTGGGGGTTCTTTGCTGTAGGCAAACTGTCCCCGAAGCCGACTTCTTGCCTGGCTTGTTTCCCTCGAATGGGAATACTCGGTAGGCGGAAGACAGAAGTGTTTATATTAATGGTCCTGTTTACACAGCGTGACTCTGTTATGTATATTCCTTAGGCTGTGTTTGTCTTTGGGAAGCCTAACTAGTCCCGGCAAGTTTATGAAGGGGAGTTTGTGTGGCCTTGAGAGAGAGCTGTTTGCTGGGAAAACACCGGATTGTCACCCGCTCCGGCTGGTGGTTTAGCTTGGAGGCTGCGAGATGACAGAGCCGTTCTTGCAGAATCCTGAAATCCCCGGGGCAGAGTGAAGCATCAGCGTCTTTGTCTCCTCTCTAATCCG